GAGTCACGTCGCCCGATCAACTGGCTAGAACTACAGGCGATCTTCCTAGCTCTCAGAGCCTTCCGAAACCTGATCTCCAACTCCCACGTCCTCGTTCTGACGGACAATGTTGCAGCGAAAGCGCACCTGAACAAGCTGGGGGGGACCAGGTCGAGGTCGCTTCTTCTGCTGGCCCTGCGACTGGGATTCTGGGCAGAGCGACACCTTTGCTCTCTCCGGGCAGAGCATATTTCCGGAGTGGACAACGCCCAAGCGGACTGGCTGAGTCGTCGTCGACTGGACAATGCGGAGTGGCGTCTCCATCCCCGGATCTTCCAGGAGCTGTCTCGGCGGTTCGGCATGCCGATAATCGACCTCTTTGCAACGCACACGAATGCTCAGCTGCCTCGGTTCTTTGCCCGATTCCCAGATCCTCAGGCGGCGGGCGTCGACGCTCTTCGAATTCCATGGCCGTCGGGTCTTCTCTACGCCTTTCCCCCGACATCCCTCCTGCCCAGAGTGGTTCGCAAGATCTTGTACGAGCGGGCGGAAGTGGTCCTTGTAGCGCCTCATTGGCCCCGGAGACCCTGGTATGCAGACCTTGTGTCCCTCTCGGTGGCCCCATCGTGGCGCATTCCCCTCGAGGACGACGTTCTGTCTCAGGGCGCTCTGTTGCACCCGGACCTGGCCTGGCTCAACCTGACCGTTTGGCGGTTGAGCGGAGCACTTTGACAGCAGTGCATATCCCGCCGGACGTCATTCAGACATTGCAGGCCTCGCGCCGCCCTTCTACGGATCGGATTTATTCTGCCACTTGGCATGCCTTCTGTTCCTGGTGTTCAGAGTCTGGCGTTTCTCCTCTTCAGCCATCCATTGTGGACATTTTATGCTTTCTACAGCAAGGTCTGGCTCAAGGCCTCTCTTCCAATACGTTACGCAGACATGTGGCCGCGTTGTCTTCGGTCCTGGTCTGCGGATCTCTGCCATCATTGTCGCAACATCGCCTAATCCGGCGTTTTCTTCGAGGGGCTACGAATTTGTGCCCTCCTGTATTACATAGATACCCGACCTGGGATCTCCCTTTAGTATTGGAGTCGCTTATGGGACCTCCGTACGAACCTTTAAGGACTACTAGTCTCCGTCTACTCACCTGCAAGGTGGCCTTTCTTGTGGCGATAACGTCGGCCCGTCGTATATCAGAGATAGCAGCATTGTCTATCCGTTCTGACCTTTGTGTCTTTCATTCGGACCGTGTGGTTCTCCGCTTGGACCCTACCTTCGTCCCGAAAATCAATTCAGTTTTCCACCGATCGCAGGAAATTATTCTGCCTAATTTCTGCCCGCATCCTGCTCATCCCCGGGAGCGCAGATGGCACTCGCTCGACGTACGGCGGGCTTTGCGGATTTACATTAAGAGGACATCTGTTTTCCGTCGTTCGGAGTCGCTGTTTGTTTCATTTCTGCCCGTTTCCCAAGGGTGCAAGGTCTCCTCGTCTGTTGTCGGTCGTTGGATTCGGCATACCATCGCCTCGGCCTACGACCTTCGTTCCCTTCCGCGTCCAGCTCGAGTGACCGCTCATTCCACCCGTAGCGCTGCTACGACTGCTGCATGGGCGACCCAAGCGCCTTTGTTTGAGATCTGCAGGGCGGCCACGTGGACTTCGCCGGTTCCCTTCATACGTCATTATCGACTGGATCAATTTGCATCGGCGGAGGCGGCGTTCGGACGACGGGTGCTTCAGCGTGTCGTTGCCGGGGAGACGGTTGTTGCTGACCAGCCGGTTCCCACCCTAAACTCGGGACAGTGAACTGGGGTATGTCCCACACTGGCTGCTGTCTCCACTCTCAATGGAGAAGGGGCGTTGGTCCTACCTGATACGCTCCTTCTCGTTGAGTGGAGACAGCAGCCAGACCCTCCCTTACTCCGGCTGTGTTTTTTTCTGTCTGTCTTCCTCTTCTCTTTCTTTACCCGGGGGCATTTATTGACTTTTGTGCCCACACGCCGAGTCAGTCTTACGAGTCTTCGCCAAAGCTGGGTCTGCCCGGCAACAAGGGCGGGACTTAAAGTTGTTGGCTGACTCAGTCCTTCAATCTGATTGGATGAGTAGTACCCACACTGGCTGCTGTCTCCACTCAACGAGAAGGAGCGTATCAGGTAGGACCAACGCCCCTTTCCTTGAGGATATCTAGTGAAGGGGAGTCCACCAGCACTCTAACTAACTGCCCAACGTTTTTGGGGTCTGTTTTCTAACAGTCATTCCAAATCTGAATTTTTGTAACTTAAATCTGTTTTGCCCCTTTGGAATAAGGAAGAATAAGTCCTGACCTCCTTTTAACAGTTTGACCAACGGACCAAGTACCCAAGGAGGCGCAGGTTCTCTTCACCAGATAAACACAGATAGTACAGGTTTCTTGGGATGCTTTAATTCAGAACCTTGGCTTCCTATGCTCAACAGATCGGGGTATTCCATGATCTCATTGGCCCTTTCTAACTCTGATTCTAAAATGATGCCCAATTTCTGCAGTGGATTCTGACAAATTCCCTCAATCATTCATGGATTATTTCTCTTCCATTCCAAAAAACTATATCTAGTCTTTATATTTTCATTGTAGATTGTGCATATCTCTAATATCTGCTTCTTGGTCTTAGTATGTGAATTAATATTCATCATTACTAAATCCTGTCGAGTATTTTAAGACCATACAAATAAGATTGAAACACAAAGAAATAGTTTAATCCAGTTAGTTCGCATCTCTTGTGGTAAATACAGCTATTATTTTTATTCAAAAACTGCTCAATTTGAAAATCAACTTTTGACTTTGCGATTTGAGGATTAGATTGAATTTGAGTAAAGAAATACTGTAGCTTTATAAATATAAGGTTATTTACATTTGACAATTTATTATGTGTTGGATTAAAATTAAGAGAAAAATGTATTAAGAATATTGGTTTTTTAGAATGTTGATTTCAATTTTGTAAAGTTATATAGGTTGTTAAAAAGGTGCACTGAAAAAACCTGAAAGTACTCAATACTCTATCAAGATATGAAGTGTTCCTACAGAAGTTATGAAGAGACAAAACTCTTGTAATTAAATTTCTGGTACCCCCTATGGTCCAAGAATGATTACAAAGAACAACTTGACCAAATGGACAAGCACCAGACTTTGCTGAATGATTATATGAGCTATAATATAACCCAGCAAACAAGCTAATTAAACTAAAGTAACCCAGCAATTTTTCCCTCTTGTATAAGTAATCCCAGATTACTCAGAAAGCTAAAGTAATCTGGGATTATTTACAGTCAGGTCCAGAAATATTGGGACATCGACACAATTTTAACATCCTTGGCTCTATACACCACCACAATGGAGTTGGAATGAAACAAACACAATGTGCGTTAACTGCAGACTGTCAGCTTTAATTTGAGGGTATGTACATCCAACTCAGGTGAACGGTGTAGGACTTACAGCAGTTTGCATATGTGCCTCCCACTTGTTAAGGGACCAAAAGTAATGGGACAGAATAATAATCATAAATCAAACTTTCCCTTCTTAATACTTGGTTGCAAATCCTTTGCAGTCAATCACAGCCTGAAGTCTGGAACGCATAGACATCACCAGACGCTGGGTTTCATCCCTGGTGATGCTCTGCCAGGCCTCTACTGCAACTGTCTTCAGTTCCTGCTTGTTCTTGGGGCATTTTCCCTTCAGTTTTGTCTTCAGCAAGTGAAATGCATGCTCAATGGGATTCTGGTCAGGTGATTGACTTGGCCATTGCATAACATTCCACTTCTGTCCCTTCAAAAACTCTTTGATTGCTTTTGCAGTATGCTTTGGGTCATTGTCCATCTGCACTGTGAAGCGCCGTCCAATGAGTTCTGCAGCATGTGAGCAGATAATATTGCCCGAAACACTTCAGAATTCATCCTGCTGCTTTTGTCAGCAGTCACATCATCAATAAATACAAGAGAACCAGTTCCATTGGCAGCCATACATGCCCATGCCATGACACTACCACCACCATGCTTCACTGATGAGGTGGTATGCTTAGGATCATGAGCAGTTCCTTTCCTTCTCCATACTCTTCTCTTCCCATCACTCTGGTACAAGTTGATCTTGGTCTCATCTGTCCATAGGATCTTGTTCCAGAACTGTGAAGGCTTTGTTAGATGTTGTTTGGCAAACTCTAATCTGGCCTTCCTGTTTTTGAGGCTCACCAATGGTTTACATCTTGTGGTGAACCCTCTGTATTCACTCTGGTGAAGTCTTCTCTTGATTGTTGACTTCGACACACATACACCTACCTCCTGGAGAGTGTTCTTGATCTGGCCAACTGTTGTGAAGGGTGTTTTCTTCACCAGGGAAAGAATTCTTCGGTCATCCACCACACTTGTTTTCCGTGGTCTCCCAGGTCTTTTGGTGTTGCTGAGCTCACCGGTGCATTCCTTCTTTTTGAGAATGTTTCAAACAGTTGTTTTGGCCATGCCTAATGTTCTTGCTATCTCTCTGATGGGTTTGTTTTGTTTCTTCAGCCTAATGATGGCTTGCTTCACTGATAGTGACAGCTCTTTGGATCTCATCTTGAGAGTTGACAGCAACAGATTCCAAATGCAAATAGCGCACTTGAAATGAACTCTGGGCCTTTTATCTGCACATTGTAATTGGGGTAATGAGGGAATATCACACACCTGGCCATGGAACAGCTGAGAAGCCAATTGTCCCATTACTTTTGGTCCCTTAACAAGTGGGAGGCACATATGCAAACTGCTGTAAATCCTACACCGTTCACCTGAGTTGGATGTACATACCCTCAAATTAAAGCTGACAGTCTGCAGTTAACGCACATTGTGTTTGTTTCATTCCAACTCCATTGTGGTGGTGTATAAAGCCAAAGATGTTAGAACTGTGTCGATGTCCCAATATTTCTGGACCTGACTGTATACAAGAGGGAAGAAGTCTTGTACAGGTAGTCCTTGATTTACAACCACATTCATAATTCTATTGAACAGGACCAGCCTCACCATTGACAGATCTCTATTGTTGTTCTTCAGTTTCTCTTCTTGCCTCTCTGAAAAGCATTAAAAATGTTAGATCAATTTACAAAATCAGAAACTTACTTCCAATGAGCCAAGTATCATCTAAAACACTTTATGATAAAACAGAGGCATATTGGGAAGTCTGAAGATTCAGATCAACTACCCATGTCCTAAAAGTGCAATCTAATGGAGTCCTTTTCTTCAAAACTTTGTAGGCACTGATAAACACTGTGTTGTAAGAAAACTTCCAACTGGAAATGGAAGGTCACTACTATTTTTCATGTTTAAATTGAACTCCATGACTAAATTCCAGAATCAAGAACAATATCACTGCTTATTCAGTTTTAAAACAGGGTAAAGCATAAACCAAAAACATGGATAGGCAGCTCATGGGCTGTATGCATCTCCTGGTACCATTCTGTTTAGATACCACTTACTGCCCATTCCTGATATCCTGCCAATTGGTAGTTTGGCAAGCTGTAATCAGCCAAACAATTGCAAACCGCGTGTCTTCCACTGAGGATCTGTATACTGCATTAACCAGAAAATGGGCTGAGGAAATATCTACACACTCCTCACATCCTGGACATGAACTGTTTCAACTTCTTTTTTCAGGACGCTGCTATAGAACATTACATGCCAAAACAACCAGACATAAAGATAGTTTCTCCCCCTCCTCCATGCTATCACTCTTTTTTTTTTTTTTTTTAATTTGATTTATATGCCGCCCTTCTCCGAAGACTCAGGGCGGCTTACAATGTGCTCAGCAATAGCCTTCATCCTTTTGTATATTTATACAAAGTCAGCTTATTGCCCCCACAAACTGGGTCCTCATTTCACCTACCTTAGAAAGGATGGAAGGCTGAGTCAACCTTGAGCCTTGGCGAGATTCGAACCCTGCAGTAATTGCAGGCAGCTGGTCTTAAGCAGCTTAATAACAGGGTGCCTTAAACCCTAGTACTACCAAGGCTCTGCTGAACACTTAATTCTCACAGCACTGGGTTTTTTTTCATCTTCTCAATTTTCCTACTATCTTCTCCTATTGGTTTCTTATGATTTATCAATTGTTGTTTGTAACTTATGATTAATGATTATATCTATGATTATGACCTGTGACTTATTACTTGCTATTATACGTATACTGTGAGCTTATGCACCAGAGACAAATTCCTTGTGTGTCCGATTACACTTGGTCAATAAAGAATACTCTACTCTACTCTACTCTACTCTACTCTACTCTACTCTACTCTACTCTGCAGCACACCCAAACTTCAGCACTTGGCATTACCTATTTTCTTTTTCTGTTGTCGGCCTGCTGATTCTGTTATTGTTTCCTTCTTTTTTTCCACTGTAGGAATTAGACAATACAACCAGTTATTTTCATAAACAATTCCTCCTTAGAAAACCACATTTCTTCTCATTACTTTGCACCCACACCAAAAATCTAAAGATATTATGAGTAGTTTATGGACATATATAAGTGGAAATATGTGAATAAATGTGTGTCTCATCTACTATGCAATTCATAGAAGGTAGCAGAAAGACCAATTTCTCCCAGCCAGAAAAGTTTCCCAGTTTTCTAATCCCAGCAGAAAATGAAAGACTGAAAAAAATAAAATACTAAGAGAATGCTTGTTTTGCCAAAATTAGTTTATCTTGCAATGAATTATAACTTGCAGGCATAGTCATTGTCAGCTTTGGAAGCCATATTAGGCCAGAAGCTACAATGCTGCTACCTTCTCATGTGTGGGAAAGTAGGAGGGGGATTTAGGAGAGGGGATTAGTAGACATAATAGCATTCTTCCTGTCGGTCAAGGTCAGGGTGATCCAGCATTTGGAGGAGGAGTGGTCAGGGGGCTGGATCAGGATGGAACGGATGTTGATTGGAGCATGTGACCGACTGGGTGGAAAAGGGGATGGTTTTGGGAGCTTTGACTTACTGAAAGAAAACCCGGGCTTTTCAGATTCGGGTTTCCCCAGATGTGCCAGTTTGCCTATTCTAGTAAAGAGAACTTTGGAAAATGCTTGCTCCCGTGTCTTTACTTGGAGTTGGGGTTTTTTCTGGAACGCTGACATTTGGTATTACTGAGGGAAGGAGATGAAACTTGCTCAGAATATTCTCTTCTGTTGGAAGCTTGCTCGTTTTCAGGGAAATAAATGTGCTGGTACAGAATCAGGTCTCCTGTGTATTTTATGGGTTATTTTTTAAAGAACATCCCATATTTACTTTTTGAAAGAATTACGTATTTGCACTTACAGTTGCCATTTCTATGTGGATTAAGTCTGTTCAATTTAATGTGATACAAAATTGTGAGAAAGAAGAATCTTTACTGATTTGGGAGAAAACTAATTAATCTGCCAATTGTTTTTAATATGACTGCAGGTTTCATAAATAGTTGCAGGCATTGTTGTGTGTGTGTGTGTATGTGTATGCATGTGTGTGTGTGTGTATATGTGTGTATACACACACACACATATATACACATACATACATACGTATATAAACAGATTTACTTTTTTAAATTCAATTTTAAAACCAAAAGATGTCTCCAAGAAAAAAGACAGAGAAATTATCAGGAGATATGGAAGGAAGCCATTTATGGATGAAAACATATTAAAAATGCAAGAGCATATCCAAAATATTGGATGGAAACCAAGATCGATTCACTCGCAAGGGAACTCCTGGAAGAAAGTAAAGGTCCGAAAGATGACATGAAACAGGTGAAAGCCAGAGTAGACTATATGGAGCATGGATTGGAGAAGACAAATGTCTTATGTGAAGCTGAACTGGATGGGATAACAACTCTGGAAGCTCAAATTAAAGAATTTCAATTAAGATTTCGTGGAATATCTGAACAACCAAGAGAAGATATCAGATCAAATATGGTGAAGGCCTTGGCCCAGTTAATTAATAAAGAGGAAAAGGAAATAGAATTTGATCTGAATAAGACATATAGAATAAACTCCCAATTTGCCACCACGAGAAAACAAACAAGGGATATTCTAATTCACTTTGCAAGAAAAATAACAAGGGATCAGGTTCTGGATTGCCATTTTAAGTACAGGCTGAAAATGGAAAATATAGATATTATTGTTCTGAAGGAAATTCCAGTCAGAATTTTGAGAATTACTGATATCCTGAAGTAGAGAAAAAAAAATCATTCCGTTTGGATAAATTGGAAGGGGTGATAGTTACTTACCATGAGTAAAGATTTAGGCTGAATTCCATAGAGAAAGCATTTTTGAGAAGATATGAATTAATTCCAGATCCATGTGGAGAAATTGGTATAGAAAAGAAGTTAGTGGTCAAGCAAGACCCAAAGGGTGGCATTGAAGAAGATGTGGTAGAGAGAAGAAGAAAGAAAGAAGATGTAGCCAAGATAGTTGTACAGGAATCTATTACAATGCTTACAGATGGAGATTAAGTCTATCACATGGAATATTAATGGAGCAAATGCCTCATCTAAATGTAAAAAAATATTTCACTATTTGAGGAAACTTATTCTGGATATAATCTGTCTTCAAGTAACACATATTAAGAAACAAGACAAGAAATATTTGATAAATAAACGATTAGGAGAATAATTTATATCAGCCGGTGTAAAAAAGATTAATGGACTTGTTTTATATATAAAACCCCAATTCAAATCTAAGCTACTTATAGCAGATGAACATGGTACATTTGTAGCAGTGGAAATAGAACTTAATGGGATAAAATCAATACTGGTGGGCGTATAAAAGCCAAATGATGATAGAAGCAAATTTTTTGATAATTTAACGGATCAGTTACTGCCTTTCTCATATGGCAACTGGCTGATGTTGGGATGTTGGAGGATTGGAATGGAGTGACTACACCAGCTTTGGATAGAACATCTATCAAAGGGGTTAAACCTTCACAGGGTAAATTATCTAAGACTTTCTTTGAGATGACGGATAATCTAGTATTAATAGATTCATGGAGATATAAAAATGGAGATGCCAAAGAATATACCTTCTTCTCTGAAAGACAAAAATCTTTTTCAAGGATTGGCATGATACGGATATCTAAAAATCTCACAAATAAAATTCTGAGTGGACATTCTGGCTAAATCTTTCTCTGACCATAATCCTGTGCTTTTAGTTTTAAGAGGAAAGAGCTCGAGTTTCAGATGGAGATTAAATGAAACTATTCTACAAAAGGAAAGGATTGTAAAAGACTATAAGTATAAGTATAATTTTATTTCTATACCGCCCTTCTCCTGAAGGACTCAGGGTGGTGTACAGCCTATTTAAAAACACAAGACAAACATCAATTAAAAATTTAAAATTATTAAATAAATTCGGCTCAATTTAAAACCCCAGCAATTTAAAATACCCCTATTTAAAATTATTATGTTGATAGCCCGGCCTGGCGGAACAACAGGGTCTTCAGTGCACAGCGAAATACCCGGAGGTCGGAGAACTTACGTATTTCCAGGGGCAGTTCATTCCACAGGGCTGGGGCTCCCACAGAGAAGGCTCTCCCCCTGGGTGTTGCCAGCCAACATAACTTGGCCGATGGCACCCTGAGGAGACCCTCTCTGTGGGAGCGAACTGGCCAGTGGGAGGCTATTGGTGGCAGAAGTCGGTCTTGAAGGTACCCGGGTCCTATGCCATGGAGCGCTTTAAAGGTGGTAACCAACACCTTGAATCGCATCCGGAAGACCACTGGGAGCCAGTGCAGCTCGTGCAGGAGGGGTGTCACGTGGGCACGAGTATAAAAAGAAATTGCAAGAATATTTTGAGAATAATTTGGGAAAAGGGAGAAGGTTAACGACAGTATGGGATGCAAGTAAAGCAGTCATGAGGGGCTATTTTATACAGTGCAATCGCTTAGAAAAGAAAAATTTCCAGGAAAAGATACAAAGGATATTGGACGAAATTAGACAGAAAAAAATTCAGTTGCAAAAGACACCGATAGATCCTAAAATTTTTACACCATATTAAATTGTTACAGCAACAATTATCTATGTTAACTATACAGGAAATAGAAACAAAATTGAACTATGCAAAACAAAGACATTTTGAATTTGCAAATAAACCAGGCAGATAGTTAGCATATAAATTAAGACAATAATTGGAAAAATTTGTGAAGGCAATAATATAACAACAGACAATGAACTCATTAAAAAGTCCTTTCATAATTTTTACTCAAATTTGTATAAAAGACAGGAGAGTGATATGTTAAAAATAACCTTTTAAAACTTTTTAAGAGAACAGTTACCTAAACTATCACAAACCCAGAGACAGTTTATGAATGATCCAATAACTGCTTTTGAGATATCAGAAGCTATTAAAAAAATGAGGCCAGGAAAAGCCCCAGGCCCAGATGGTCTCACAAGCTAATACTATGTTTCAAGGATGAACTTCTTCAACCACTAAAGGTCACAATGAATGATATACTACAGTGTGGAAATATATCGCTGACATGAAAAGAAGCCAATATTGTGTTGCTCCCAAAGGAGGATCAAGGTGTTACAAAGACAGACTTCCGGTGGCACCGCAGGCGCTGGCAGACGTTCCTTTCGGATCGTCAGCCCCACAATCTCGTAAAAACCGCCAAGATAGCGCATATCAGCTGTCTAGCGGTTTAGAAACCTTCCCCTCGGGAGGGGAAGGCGAACAGCCGGACAAAGTTAGAGCTCCCCAAAAGCCCTAGAAATAATTCTGGGGCTTGAAGGGTGAGAGCTCCCTGGTAGCCCGACAGAGCTCTGGATCCGGGACTTTTCTGCTTCCAAGCAGAACAAGACGCTGCGACCATCCCTGCAATCAACATTCAGTTTTAAATTAATCCCAAAGCAGGCAGAACAAAAACAGAAGTTCTAGTAACTGCGAGTACTGAACTTTAACTCTGTATCCATATTTCTTCCTTCTAAGATCATTTTAAAAAAAGGAAAGGAAAAATGGCGCCTGAACTGTAACAGGGCGTGGAAAAGTGAAAGTTATAGTGAAAGTGCTGGAGGATCACCAGCACAACCATCTAAACTACAATCTTTGTCTACTCCAAATCTACAAATATTGACTTTGGAAGCTCTACAAGAGTCTTTACAGGAGGCCTTTAAGCAGCAAACCTCTGTTTTAGAGGGAAAAATTAAGGGAGTGTCTGATGAGATGGCTGAAATTAAGGAGGTTATCCAAATTCAGAATAAGGAAATGGGGTGTTGGTCCTACCTGAGACGCTCCTTCTCGTTGTGTGGAGACAGCAGCTAGTGTGGGTACCACTCTCCCAATCAGCTGAAGGACTGAGTCAGCCAATAACGTTAAAGCCTGCCCTTGTTGCTGGGCAGGTCCAGCTTTTGACAAAGGACTATAATGGCAGACTCGGCGTGT